AATAATAATGAAAATAATAATAAACAACCTGCACACAAGATGGAACATGGAGGTCAACTGCCACAAAATAAGGTGATTTGTACTTGGTAGCCTGAGAAATAGTATCAGGTATTAATTTAAGCAGTAAATTGAGTAATAATACCGCAGAGTTAACAATGACACAAGCATACGGTGTTATGTAACAAAATTCATGCATTACTTGCTGTGGCAGTGTCCTCCTCAACCTATCGTGCACCGCAGGTTTCAATCAATGTCATCAAAAATTTTATTGTTGTTAGTTTGATCTATGTATCTGCTATTCAAATAATATCGTTTGGAAAATAACTAACTGATTTAATTTTGCTTTTGCAACATGAAATTATCATTAACTTTGCCGGTTCACGTGTAAACAGTACCTTGCAATCAGTGCTGCTCTTTTCTCCCCAACTCGCCACTGACAGGCTAACCACATCGTTTCAAAACAACGTTGGTATTCTCCTTTACTTTTGGTGTTGGCAGTTTCATCCCGGGGACATCGTTTTCGGTTAAAAACAACGTATCGTTTTCACCCATCTATGCATTGCTCCTGTACAAAATGGCCGCTTGTTGCCCCCCCAAGGGAAAAATCGTAGCACGTGGGTAGTTATGCAAGACCTGTGACGTATAACGCGCGCATCGTTATTACAGCCTGGCGCCTGTGTTGGTTTTAGATCTTTTTGTTTAGAATATGTGAGTCCATTTTCCTGATGCTCCCTTAAAGAAGGGCATTATTCTGCCTCTTTACTCATAAAATCAGAACTAAGCCTTACCTAGCATCAAGTTTTAGAATTCATTGTTGTGATTAAATAGGCAGGAAAATGGTGATGATAGCTGTGTTGAGGAAGATATGTTTGCAAGTGAAATAACAGTTTTAGTTCCAAATATGCTTCTGTGTCATCAACATTATTCCAGAACATATTTTTTATTTCTGCATTATCTAAGTGGAAAAAAACCCCTACCAAATGGTTAAATGAACAATCATTGGTTATAACAAAATCCTTGGGAAAAAAACATTTTAATATATGCTTACACGGAAACACACACATTTAGTATAACTAAAAATTGAAAGAAAAACTTACTTTTTAATTTTCTTTTTTTCTTTTCTCCTCTTCTTTGCTTTTTTCTTTTTGTCCTTTTTTTTTCTTTCTATATTTTTCTGATCATCCTCAGATTCACTTCCTGATTCACTGGAACTACTTGCATATTCAGATTCTGAAGATTTGGTATCTTTTTTCTTCTTGGCTACAAGAGTAAATTATAGTGCTTTCAACACTTCCACACAATAAAATATTTCTGTCAGGCCTTAGTCATATGTCTGGTGACCTGCCACTCAAGACTAAGGCATACATCCATATCTACATATGGTATGTTATTTGTCATGATTTGATATCAAACATTTTTCTGACAGAAACCATCATGATTTCACAATTTTCTGTCCCTGCATCATTACTATTTTCTTATATGTATATATTTTAATTATTATTTTCATATATATATATATATATATATATATATATATATATATATATATATATAAACACAGACATGCTGAAAATTGGCGAAAAACTGAAAATTGAAATGAGAATGCACAGTGCGCATGCGCGTCAGGTTTTGAAGCATTTCTGCATGATTTCTTCAGAAGTTTTTATTAAACTTTTTTTGATAATAATCCACATCACTATTATCATAAGTTATGTAATAAGGAAGGGTGGGAGAGGCATTTCATCTCCTCACCCATAGTTGTCTCATAGAATTACAATCAAACATCAACTTACGGGTAAGTTTCGTTTAATTTTTTAATTCTATATCGAACAATTATATTGGTTCATCATGAAATGAGACTTTAAGGCATATATCATGCAAAATGAAACATGAACTCATGTTTAAATTCATAAAGAAAGACTTTATTGGTTATTTATCAAACACATAAACAGTTTATAAATAAACTGACTAAAGTTCACTTACCTAATATAAGTGCAACTTTCACTACGTCATTTTCAACTATTTCTTTGTTATGGAACATATTCTAATTTGACCAACCAGCCTATTTCATTATAACCTTAGAGGTTGATGCTGCACTCACACTATGAGCATCACCCTTCACAGTATCTATTCCTGATCTTATTAAGACCACTTTGATCCACCATGCAATAGTGTCTTTGACACTGCTTTATGTGGTTTTCTGAAACTGATTAACAACCTGCTTCCTTTAAAGTGTCTCAACATATTAGTAAGTTTTAAGTATATTTCCTTCGTGACAATGTAAACACGAAGTCTCTTATCAGGAAGATAAGCTTTAAAACGAACTTTAGACAGTTCTTTCTGTCTACTCTGCTTGTGTAAGTAAACCGTCAAAACAGAAAACATTTAGATATCAACTTAAAAAAATTCTTAACAGTTAACAAGTGCACATTTTGAATTCTGGCAACATTTACTAATGCAATAAGCATAGTAAGTTTCCAAATCAAGTTTTTCAGACTAATATTAGGTAAAGGAGATATTTGTGTTAAGTAACATTAAACTTGATCAACATCCCACACAGGTATATCTACTAGTATATGTGGGTGTAGATTAAATACATCTTTCATATAACAAATCACTTGTAGGTGCAATCATGCCAAATAACGTTCCAGCAAAATTCCAAGTGGTGACAGAGCACTCCTGGCTGCATTCAAGGAACTATATCCATGACCCTTGTTATACAGATCAGCTAAAAACTTCGTAAAATCATTCACGGAAATACAAAACAGATTAATACTTTGCTCGCAACAGACATGAAATCACTTTGATAAATATGACTTGTACTGACATTTAGCAATTAGCCTTTGCTCTCAATGCCATAAAAATGTTGTTTGATAGTTCTGAAACCCCCAGTCTCTAATACTTCCTGATAACTTGCAAATTGCAAAGTCATTTTTAATGGCGGACGTACATGAAAGAAAAACCGCCTAATCTTTTAATAGTCTCTCCTCTTCTCACACGCCTCCCCACATTTCGTCCCTGCGGGGTACAGTAATTAAATCTCGGCTCCGAACATTAATATTTCCGTGAATATCTCTGGTGATATTATCTCCGTAGATAGTCGATTCATTGCTGCTCTACGGGCCAAATTATTCCTTTTTCGTCTCTGTTTTCAAAGATAATAGAACAGAAGAGCTTTTTTCCTTCGATCGCCTTCAGCCGCCATGCTTTCTTCACCACGAGTTTAACTGATGAGCATGCGCACTTAATCTTTCTCAGGTGGCTTCCGCATGGCGAACGGAGACGAGATTTAATTACTGTACCCGGGACGACGTGTGGGGAGGCGGAGAGACTATTAAAAGATTAGGCGGTATTTCTTTCATGTACGTCCGCCATTTTTAGGTCACCGGCTTTGTAAAGCCTGGCTTAATTGGTTGAGAATGCGCTCTAATACTTCTACATATTTCACTGTCTGTGATAAAAAAAAGCCTTCAAAGCAAACAAAACAGCACATGATTCTAGGACATTTATGTGCCATTTCTATTTTATTGTCATTCATGACTGTAATCTAGTCAAGCATGCAGCTATTAGTCTCTATAATAAGCTTGGGATTTTCTCTACGAAAAACTTGTACCTGTGTTTCAATATTTTCTATCCACCACTGAAGTTTCTATTTCAAATCAATTGTTATCTATGTTCTCTGCATCATAGCATTAAAGTTGCATTAATTTAGTTCAATGCATATATTTTCCTTTCCGAGTTCTCTGTAATATAGTTTCCTTAACTCAACTGCTGAAAAGGTGACCAAAAGTCCAATTGCTTTAGCCACTAGTCTGATTGTTTCAAATTCACAAATATGCATTTTAGTTTCAATGCTTATGCTTTTTCCTTTTCCATATTTCTGTAATGAAGTTTTCCTACTTCAACTACTGAAAAAGAAGTGACCAAAAGTCCAATTACCGTATAGCTATTAAATCCCCAGTCACTTTAAGAGCCCACGCTGTCTACATCATACATACTAGTGCGCAAGCCCCCGACTGTGTTAATATGATAGGGGGATTACGGTAGACAGCACAAGTCGCTCACAGCGGCAGTCACCGTTGCTGCTGTCAAGCCAGTAATTAAGTCTTTAACTTGACTAAACAAGTTTTGCTTTGTAACATGCGTCCTTCAGTCTTGCTGTTGGGGAAGCGCCGGCGGGACATCTCTCCACCATGCCGATATTTATCCCTACTTTCGACCTTAAAAGTCTTATTGGTTTTGATTTTTTTATCAAAGTCTCATAACATCAGGAAACCGACATATTTTCATATGTTAAGAGAATGATAGGAATTGTAGAAAAAGCAACTCGTACATCAGGGATAGAAAACAAGATCTTGCAGCACTATAAGCTATATATTATTCATCACCAGAAGTCCCCGTTTCACTTTTTTCTCCCAAATTACAAAGATTTGTTGACAACCGAAAGGTGTTAGCCATACATCAGGGCAGTGGGAGATAGTGGTTGTAGTTTGAATTTGATTTAAACTAATAAAAGTATATTTTGAAGACATTTTCTAGCCTTCGACAATTTCCACAAAGCTTTGGCAAGTGTGTCAAAACAACACTGTCAATAAGTGTTACAGAGCACTAGAATAGGTGGCTTAATGGATAACGCCGTAGCAATTTTCATGTGTGCTGGTTTATTTTGATTTGAGAGAAAGAGAGAGAAGACACTATACTAAGCCCGCGAATTAATTACAGAGATTGTGTAATGAAAAATCAATCTGTAACTCTGGTATAGGGTAGCCTTTGTGTGTGTAATGATATACAAGTTGGGACAGGGGTACAGTTTTATAGTACAATTATTTTATTGACCATCATTTTATACATTGATATAATTGATCTCATCATCGGCATTGTTTACTATAGCGCTTTGTTGTGGTGCATTGCGTACCTTTTTCATAATATTGGAGTCAGACTCAGTAACAGCTGATGATTTTGTCTTTTGTGCATTTCATTGACAATATTTTGGCCACCTAAGTAGGACAATATGGCTCTTTATTTTGAAATGACATTTCCATTGTTCCTTTGAACATGCAAAAGTCTTCACCAGGCAGCAGATAACACTTTTAGAACACAGTGTCTTAGAGAAAAAAGCTGGTAAATTTTACGGTGAAAGGGCATTTATGATATATGCACCCAAAGTTTGGAACACCTTACCCTCTGAAATACGAGCAGCAGGTGATATAGATACTTTTAAAAAGCTTTTGAAGATTCATATTTTTAGAATAGCCTATCAGTAACTATCATATAGTTAATTTTAGTTTTTAATAAGGTGTACTGTAATTTTATGATTAATTTTAAATGTTGTCACTTTAATTTCTTATCATTTTAGAATATGAAATAATTGGTTCTTTAAATTAGTTCTTAGTCCTTTAAAATTGTAATGTGTTCTTATACTAGTATTGTGTTATTTAGCTCTTAAGTGAATGTTGTAAGGCGCATTGAGATTTTTAATGGAATGCGCCATAGAAAAATAAATTATTATTATTATTATTATTTAACACTTAAATCAATATATTTGCTTTGTAATAAGCACCAAGGGGAAGAAACAAAAGCCTTATAAGGTGTCGTCCCTCACACTGTAAAAGGTGTTAATTTCGTGTTTCTATCGTTTGATCCATGAATCATTATGATAAAATTGTAGGGTTGCCAGAGCACTCGCGCTTCATTCAACTTTCCATGTCTGCACTGCAGCCTGAGATGAGTGAAACTTGACTGACCTTTGTTTACATCGTGAGATTCTCTATATAATTTGGTCAGTGTGCATAAATTATTATATTTTCCAGCTGGAAAAAATATGTGATAATGTAACGATTCTTATTTTATGGATACATGATTACATAAAATTAATTCCTGATACAATACCCCCTATTTCAGCACCTATTCCTGGCTGCGTTAATTATGGAGGGTTAGAAAGTAATCCGTGAGAATGCAGGAGTTATGTTTGCTACTCTTACCAACGGTAAATCACCGATCAACTAGACTCAGCCACCTGAAGCAGAATCATCAACAAAAGACAAATTGGACTACATCTGCCCCCTTATTGAAACATCTTATGTAAAAAAGGCGATGACGGTCAAAGAACAGGCCTAGGCTACATGCTTCATGGTTTATTAAATATTCATCGTATTTTTCTAGTTCATTATTATAGCTTCACCTTCACGACACCCTTTTTAAATATTTAAAACACAGCACTCCACGTTTTTTTTGCGATCATAAAGAAAAGGAGTGTAGCAGAGAACCTCATAAATGGTTGTAATAATTGGTGGTTGCCTTGTAGGCCTAACCGAGTTACATGATAACATAATACGGATATATGATAACATAAAATTAATACTAAAATTTTCCTGATACAATATCCCCTATTTCAGCGCTTATTCCTGACTCTGTTAATTAGAAATTTATCTGTGAGGACGCAGGAGCGATGATTGCTACTCTTACCGATGGTAAATCACTGATTTACTCGACTCTGCCACTTTGAGCAAAATCACCACCAAAAGACAAATTAGACTACATTCGTCCTCTTAACTTCCAGAAAAAATTACCAAATAGACTGCATTGCTCACTGAAGCTTTATTTAAGTCCCATGTTTCTTTCCTGTAAGTCTGAGAACAGTAAGTGATATGATTTCCTTAAATGGTCATCGTGAGAGCAGTGCCCAAAATAGGGGTTTCTTCAAATTTTGATGCAACATTATATAATGTTTAACAGCATAATGACCATAAATGTTTAATAATAAAATATTTGTATCATGGATATTCAGAAAATGTGACTAGCAAAGGTCTTCACGACCATGGAACTTCAAAGTGAAACCTTGAAAATGCCAATATGTGAAAAATTTAATTTTCACAAAAAATTGATTAACTGCCAGAAAAATTTACCAAACAGACTGCATTGCCTAATTAAACTGTATCTTAGTCCCATGTTTCTTTCCTGTAAGTTTGAGAACAGTAAGTGACATGGTTTTCCTTAAATGGTCATCATGGAAGCAGTGTCCAAAATAGGGGTTTCTTCAAATTTTGATGCAACATTACATAATGTTTAACAACGTAATGACCATTAATGTTTAATAATAAAATATTAGTATCATGGATATTCAGAAAATGTGACTAGCAAAGGTCTTCAGGACCATGGAACTTCAAAGTCACACCTTGAAAATGCCAATATGTGAAAAATTTAATTTTCACAAAAATCTGTTTAACTGCCAGAAAGAATTACCAAACAGACTGCATTGCCTAATTAAACTGTATCTTAGTCCTATGTTTCTTTCCTGTAAGTCTGAGAACAGTAAGTTATATGGTTTTCCTTAAATGGTCATCATGGGAGCAGTGCCCAAAATAGGGGTTTCTTCAAATTTTGATGCAACATTACATAATGTTTAACAGCATAATGACCATTAATGTTTAATAATAAAATATTAGTATCATGGATATTCAGAAAATGTGACTAGCAAAGGTCTTCAGGACCATGGAACTTCAAAGTCACACCTTGAAAATGCCAATATGTGAAAAATTTAATTTTCACAAAAAACTGTTTAACTGCCAGAAAGAATTACCAAACAGACTGCATTGCCTAATTAAACTGTATCTTAGTCCCATGTTTCTTTCCTGTAAGTTTGAGAACAGTAAGTGACATGGTTTTCCTTAAATGGTCATCATGGGAGCAGTGTCCAAAACAGGGGTTTCTTCAAATTTTGATGCAATATTACATAATGTTTAACAGGATAATAACCATTAATTTTTAATAATAAAATATTAGTATCATGGATATTCAGAAAATGTGACAAGCAAAGGTCTTCAGGCCCATGGAACTTCAAAGTCACACCTTGAAAATGCCAAAATGTAAACAAGACAGCACTGTCCTGAAATGTTTTTTTTTTTCCATTTTTAACAATTGTTTAACATATAACAAAATTAACAGTTTACTGCCATTTTTATATGATCAACTAAGAAAATTGATGAGATGGGAAAAATATCAATAGAACAGTGTTTAATGTCACTCCTGTGAGTTTCATGACAACAAGCCTATCGGTTTTCCTTGAAATGTGTTAACAATGTTGCATATATGCTGAAAAGTGAAAAAACAGCATAACTACTAAAATAGTGGCCTGATCATGCCGATTTTTGAACTTGATCTGCCTTATAGTAAGATTGATTACTCCTGTGAGTTTCATGACAACAGGCCTATCGGTTTTCCTTGAAATGTGTTAACAGTGTTGCATATATGCTGAAAAGTGAAAAAACAGCATAAATTCTACAATAATGGCCCGATCATGCTGATTTTCAAACTTGAGCTGCGTTTTATGAATATTTGTCAGCTCTGTAAATATAAAGCCAAAAAGTAAAACTGCCCTCCACTTATTGTGTTAACAAGGAAAGTGCACGGCGCCGGCATCGGCATCGGTGAAGGCATCGGCGACAACAGACGCAGGTGATGGCAATATGTACAGACACATCTGTGTCTGTACATAATAATCAAAGATAATGACCATCTGTGTCTGTACATAATAATCAAAGATAATGACCCACTGAAGAATGATTCCGAATAATACATCAACAATGTTTCCATATGAGGCTAACTGAGGAAAGGTTTGAGAGAGCATTTTAAGAAGAGGTGCATATACCAATAGTGAGTAGGAAGTGTGTTGCAAACAAGACAAACAATACCGATCATAAGTAGACAGCCACTAACCCCTAATTAAGCGCGGGTTATACGCTGCTGTGTCGACTCCTTGCTGGGGAGGGGTAGCGGCCTCCTACTGCTGTGAGTAATCACACATTGTCTTCTAATTTACGGCTTTGTTGACTCCTTGCTAGGAAGGGGTAGCGGGCTCCTACAGCTGTGAGTAATCGCACTTTGTCTTCTAACTTATGGCTACACGTTGGTTGCATTGTATTCATAAAGTAAGAGCTATTCATAACGAATGGGGCGGTTGGTAATCTTACGTAAATTAGATCATTTATCGATCTTGCGCAAACCCGTAGTCTACAAATTTAGAATTATTCTAAATTCTCCCTTCTCCTCTGAAGAAAATTGGTAAAAGTTATTGGTCAGTTTGACAGCTCACTGGCATAATAATTTCATCACTGACCAACTTAGATTGAGAAAAAATATATGTTTCATAAGCAGAGCATTTTCATTAAAACCAATGACAATGTTTCACAATGCCAGAAATATTTATTGTCATGCATATTTGTTTCCCATTGAGAGGAGAAGTATTTCAACCTAACTCCCAACTTATGACATAAGGGCAGTATATTTACCCTATTTATTTTGAGTCATTGCGCCAAATTCCCTTAGGCTCACTGCCATGGGTCTTCTGATACCCTGAGAACTTTTCAGTGTACCTGCCTTGCTGTTTTCCAGCATAGTCGGCTTGCCCAGTGTATTGTTTTTACTGGGTTTACAGGTTCCTTTATAAACGCACCACAAATAAGCACACAGACAAAATGCTGCAGATAGTGGGTTCGTCTCTGGTGAAAAGCTCCACACTAATCACTCAAGCAGCTAATAAAACAGCCGAACTTGATTTTTCTGATCTTGAATCAGGCTCGGAGTCGGCATATGACACTAATGTCTGCTGCTAAAGTTTCCTCCGATGGAGTACCCACAAAGTCCTCATTCATAAAACACTAGGCCATATCTGCAAAATTGCTCTGATGATTGACCTCATTCTCAAGAGGTCGCTGTAAAGATTTCAGTCTTTTGCACGCTGGCTTTACATAATAATGCCTGGCTATTGTTGTACATTAGTATTCATCATTCCCGTTTCCTCTGTATCAGTTTTCCTAGAAAATAACATGTCCTATTTGGCATCGTTAGATGTCTGTTTTTCATTCAGACTTTGCAAGTATTCTAGAATCTTCGATTCTTGGTTTGATGCGATTTTCGCAGCAACACTAGTGGTCTTCAGCGCCAGCAGATTTCTCACTACTTTTAGCCACTTGTTTATTTTTCCAAGTCTAACTTCGCCAGCTCATTTTTCTCCAACATGTTGGAAAAAAGATGTATTGCCAAAAAAGAACAGAATACACCAATATGTATTGACAAAAATGTCAAAATACATATACATGCAAGAAAATTCTTGCTAACCACGCACTTCCCGCCTTGTGCTACTGACGTGCATGCACACTGTGCATTCTCATTTCATGACGAACCAATATAATTGTTCAATATAGAATTAGATAATTAAGTTTAAAATATTTCCAGTAATGTATAAACTGCAGTGTCTTCTGTATATTTCAGAAGACATTGTTATATAACATTAGGTACTGATAATGAAACAAGGTTGCAGTGGTGTCAAATGTAAAGACTATACTGATGCACAATATAGGTTATTTTGAGAATTCCGATGCAATACAGTGAATACAAAGATTTCCAATTTGTATGACAATGGATAAAATATGCTAAAAAAAAAATAATAAAATAAAACAACTTTTGATTTCAGTTCTGTAAGTTTGAACACAAAAAGTAAAACGTTTTTCATCTTATTTGTATAACACTGAAAGTGCAAGGCAACAACAATGACAACAACAAACACAGGCGACAGCTTTATATACAGATACATCTGTGTCTGAACATAAAAAGGGAAGGTTTTCAAAATTCAGAAATTTAAAACACGACTTCACATAGCTGTTACATGCTGTGGCACTGCCACAATCTATGTTTAGAATTTTGGCTCTTAAAACTCGTCTGTCCTTTGGACCAACCAAGTCCAATTTTTTATTGGTCCAGAAAAATTTTGCCAGTGATGACTGATCGGACCGACAGTTTCAGCATGTCTGTGTAATTGAAGCGGAGATTATCTCTCTCTCTCTCTGTTTACTCTGTTACCTTTATTTGGCACCTTGTAAACAGGTCAGGAAATATTTAGAAGAATATAATATAATTTTCAAGTTATGAAAACTTTTGTTCATCTCCTTCATCATACAATCTACAAATCAAATAAGCTCTCTTTTCAAAAATCTTACCTTTTTGTTTAATCTGCAAAATAAGCTCTCCACAGCTGGTTATCTTAACCTCACTGATAGGACGATTATTTTCATCTGTCTTTTGGTTCTCAATAGCTATTACAACATCCTGTCCTCTGATGACATGGCCAAAAACCACATGTTTCCTACAATTAAACATATACATCATTCCATTGCTATACTGACACACACTCTTTATTCTAATTTCCTTGTGCTGCATCAAAGCAATTTCCTTTGTTTTTTGTTGAGTTACATGATCCTGAAATTCCCTGAAAATATTCAATTCTACATAATTATGTCAGCTACCACCTTCTCTTAAAACTTTGTCAGTTTGTTTTTAGACCTGGCCCCCTTTTCACAAAGAATCTTAAATCCGTAGTTGACTAGCTCCAGCTGAGTGATCTAGCTAGGTCAACTATGCTGTAGTCGACTAGGAGTGTTTCACAAAGAATCTAAAGTCAACTTTATCAAAGCCAAAATTCAAGAAGTATGTGAGTTGAAGTATGAAGCAGACCCTACAACAGTGTGGGATACATTAAAATGTGTGTTAAGAGGAAAAATAATAATAATAATAATAATAAGTAACACAGTTTTCTTTTCAAAATGTTTGTAGTACCAGTGCATTTTTGACAATTTTGATGTAACATTACATAATAAGTTACAGAATAATTATCACCAATTTTTGATTATTGACTTTAAATAGCATGGACATGTAGAAAATTTGGTTACCATATGGCTTTATGTCCATGGGAGCTCTGAGTCCCACAATGAAAATGCCAACACAATAAAAATGAATATTTCACTAAAATGTATAACTTCAAGAAAAAGAAGCCAATTAGACTGCATTTTCAACTCTGCTGCATTTTAGTCCTGTTTTTCTTTTTTGAAAGTTTGACAATCATAAGTAACATGGTTTTCCCATAATGGTCATCATGGCAGCAGCTCCCAAAATTGTGTTTTCTTCTATTTTGATGCAATATTATATAATGCTGTTATACCTCATTGAGCACACGCATAAATGAGAGACTGGTCTTATCTGGTCTGCTCCAGCATACCTAGCGCAAACCACAAGTTTAATGAAGATGGTCCCATTGTGGGGGAGGGGGTCACAGGAATGGAGTTCTTCATGGATTACGCTAAATAATATCAATATTTCATGCATCTGGGGAAATAAAAAGTGAGTCACAGGTAACAGATATACCCAGTGGGACTCTCTGTGAAGCTCCTGAGGAGATAAGGAAGACATCATTTTAATTGTTGACAAATCATTTATCCATGTAGGTGAACAGATACACGTGTGCGTCAGATTTTGACAGCGCATGGTATTTGGCGCAAAGAAGTCTGGGCGGTTGATCCTGCTGATTTTTCTGTCGATTGTAGTAAATGTAAGATCTTGCGGTGCTGACTTCAAGAACGTTTCCCCATCTGCATATATATTTCAATCGAACTTGAAATTAAATTGCTTATTCTTCACAAATTTTTATTGCTAGCAAACGCTATACATGGTCTGCATGAAGGTGTTTACGACATATTCTACCCACTGTCGATATTTGGTTTCATCCAGAATAGGCCTTTTTTTTAATTCTTCAAAATGCCCCCCCCCCCCCCATCCAGTTACAGGTGAGACGAATCAGTCATCGAGGGCAAGTATTCGTAATTAGCAACAAGGCAGCAAAGCTGTCAAATGTACAGACAAAAAGCAGGAAATAACAATGCAAAAAATAGGCTACTGTCAATTCTGACGTAAAAATACATTATGCTTAACTACAAATTCAACATCAAATTTTAATTATGCTCAACAGGTAATACCAATGTAAGTAAAATGTGTAACAAGCATAAGGCTTCAGGCCCATGGGAGTTCAAGTTCACACTTTGAAAATGCCAGAATGAGAAAAATGAAAATTTCACACAAAATTGCATAAATTCAATAATAAATGACAACCCAATTGAGCTGGCTTCCTTATCTGAACTGCATGCCAATCTTAAAAATCATACTTGTAAGCTATTAAAAATAATAAGTAACACAGTTTTCTTTTCATAATTTTTGTAGTAGCAGTGCAAAAAGATTTCTGTCCATTTTGATGTAACATTACGTAATACATTACAGAATAATTATCACCAATTTTTGATTATTGACTATAAATAGCAAGGAAATGTAGAAAATTTGATTACCATTCAGCTTCATGTCCATGGGAGCTCTGAGTCCCACAATGAATATGCCAACACGATAAAAATGAATATTTCACTAAAATGTATAACTTCCAGAAAAAGAGCCAATTAGACTGCTTTTCCAACTCAGGCTGCATTTAAGTCCTGTGTTTCTTTTTTGAAAGTTTGATAATCATAAGTAACATGGTTTTCCCATAATGGTCAGCATGGCAGCAGCACCAAAAATTGTGTTTTCTTCTATTTTAATGCAATATTACATAATGCTTAACAGCAAAATGACCATCAACTTTTAATAATAAANTGGATCTGTTTCCAACTGTTCCAGATATACACCTTCCTCTGTAATCTTTCCAACAGCCTAGAGTAAGACATGAACATCTCTTCAATAATATCTGTACAGTTCATAGAAACACAGAAATTAAAACAAACATGATAGAAGCCATTTTACAACATAACCCGTATTTATGATCCCATACCTAGATGAGAGCAGTCTGCATGTATGAAGTACCTAGAAGTAGCATTTATAACTATTTTAATAACTGTTTTTATTTAAAAAAATTACTTGCGTAGTACATCCTATATCCAGAGTATGATTTCTAATACCATGTAATATATGTATGATATATATAAAGCACACTGACCTGTCTGTCTGCTGAGCAGGAGACTCCAATACCCACAGGACAGGAAGCTCCATGCCTAGGGAGACGTACAGCACGCACATCATGACAAAAATACTTTCCACCAAACTGTGCTCCGATTCCAGCTTTTCTAGTCAACTCTAGAATCTGCTGCTCCAGTTCCAAATCTCTAAAGCCTCTGCCATGTTCGTTACCTACAGAGTAGCCAAAGTCAGAATTGTTATCACATTTTGCCATGTGTGTTACCTAGAATGTGGTCAAAGTCAGAACTGTTATCACATTCTGCCATGTTTGTTACCTAGAATGTGGTCAAAGTCAGAACTGTTATCACATTCTGCCATGTTTGTTACCTAGAATGTGGACAAAGTCAGAATTGTTATCACATTCTGCCATGTTTGTTACCTAGAATGTAGCCAAAGACAGAATTGTTATCACATTCTACCACATTCAGATGTGGACAAGTCATTCACCTATAACTGACAGTTACAGTAGACGCACCTGCCAGATGTGGACAAGTCATTCACCTATAACTGACAGTTACAGTAGACGCACCTGCCAGATGTGGACAAGTCATTCACCCATAACTGACAGTTACAGTAGACACACCTACCAGATGTGGACAAGTCATTCACTATAACTGACACTTAGAGTAGACACACCTACCAGATGTGGGTAAATCATCCAGGTATTTTGTTGAGGCCAGTTTCACAGTTTTCAAGTTGAACTCTGCTGAGGTTCCTCCTACCACCACTGCCAGATGGTAGGGTGGGCATGCTGCCGTCCCCAGGGTCTGTAATAATAATAATAATAATAATAATAATAATAACCAAAAGAGCCAAACCACAACATGCATTTTTTCTGTGGTGGAAAACAAAAACAAAGATCCCTTGCAGCATCCTTTCAGCTCTCTCATTAAGAACCTTCAATTTTTAGCTCTGTCATTAAATATGATTCAGGAACTTATTTTTATATTCAGTTTTCAGCTCTCTCAATAAAACATAATTCAGGAACTTTTTTATTTTTGTTGTTGTTGTTGTTGTTGCTCAGCTCTCATCTTGATCATGGCCCAGGAACTTCAGCCACATATCTACAAGCTGGTCTTAAAACAGATATAGTTATATACAATGTAAACATACAAACTTGTGCATTGTCAACTTACCTTAATTTTAGCATCCAAGAACTCCAGCAGTTTACTGGGATTCAGCACAGCTTTTGTTTGTTGGAACAGAAAAGATTTATTGGCAGAGCCACCACCCTTGGCAATGAACAGGAAATCATAGCTGTGAGAGTTGGTGGCATACAGTTCAATCTGAGCAGGAAGGTTGGTGCCTGTGTTGGACTCTGTGTACATGTCAAGTGGTGCCACCTAGGGAACAATTTTACACAAGGCAGCAAAGCTGTCAAATGTACAGACAAAAAACAGAAAATAAAGATGCAAAATAGGTCATGTTGTCAATTTTGATGCAATAATAAATAATGCTTATAATAGCACTGTCATTCAACACTGAAATTTAATCATGCACAACAGGTACCATGGTCAATAACAGGAGCGAACCCAGAGATATTTTCTGACAGTATTCCAAAGTATCTATGTTGATCCATCCTCCATTTTGATGGTCTTCCAACAGAAAAAATAGATATCAGTCAATATAAACTTAATAACTTGACCGTCTTCCGGAAGACCCAGAAGATGGTCTCAATCCACCCCTTCAATAAGATTACAGTTTCAGGACCATGAGAGTTCAAATTCACATGATGAAAGTCTCAATTTTTGAAAAATGATGACAGTGCATAAAATAATATTACATAATGGTTAAAGACATAAAAAACAATACAACTGCTTATGTGGAAATACAGAAAATGTGCAGAGCCTCAGGAGGATGAGAGTTAAAAGTCACAAATGCCAGTGTTTGAAAATTAAAAAGGAAAACATAACAAAACAAGAAAAGCACTCTGAGAGCGCAGACCTCTGCC